TTTCAACACAGCTTTGGCCTGTCCGATTAAGTATGTAAAGTGTGAAGCCAGATAATTAAATAATTAAAGTGTTCCCACACTGCTAATATAGACTACATGAATTAACTCAGATCTTCCTTTTTAAGGATTTTTATCAAGATATGCCTACTTGGGTGTTTTCAGTCCGTTTCTCATCTACAGTCTGCTCTGTCTTAGTGGAAGGTGGGTGTAGGGAACGAGGTAAAGGTTGCCATGCCAACCGTCCAGTCTGTCTCACCACTTAGTGGTGCATTTCTTAACGTATTATGTGTTGTGTGTATTCACATGTGTGGGGGGCACACTGTGGAAGTCATAGGACAGCTTCTGGGAGTCAGTTCTCTGCTTCCGTCACCTGGGTCAGTCTTGGTGGCCAGGGATCAGACTCAGGTCCTTGGCCTTGTGGCAGGCGCCCTTACTTGCTGAGTGCTGTCCTCAGCATCTCACTGGTCCCTCGGCAGTGCTTTGTACCATCCAGGAGTTTCTCTCCACAGCTGTAGGAGATTCTAACCCTCTCTAGTCTACTTACAGTGTTGTCGTACATATTTTCCAGTTTCATAATCTTCTTTGAAAGCTCCTGTCATATAGACCACTTATCACTGAATTTGAAAGCCTCAGCCAGATAAGTCTTTTCTGTGGTTAAATTGTGACAGTGTTGCTTTTTTAAAAAAAAATGTCAGACAGCATAATTGACCCTTGAAAGGAGTGGCCCTGTGTAGTCCCTTTGGTGCTCCCAGGGTCTAGGAGGACAAGGAAGAAAGGTAACTGAATCACATAGCCCGGGGCTGGGGAAGCCTCTAGAGCAGTGGTTCTCAACTTTCCTGATGCCACGACCCTTCAATACAGTTTCTCATGCTGTGGTGATCCCAACTATAAATTTATTTTCCTTGCTACTTCATAACTGTAATTTTGCTACTGTTATGAATAAGAATGCAAATATCTACGCCGGGTGTTGGTGGCGCACGCCTTTAATCCCAGCACTCGGGAGGCAGAGGCAGGCGGATCTCTGTGAGTTCGAGCCAAAACCACAGAGAAACCCTGTCTCGAAAAACCAAAAAAAAAAAAAAAAAAAAAAATGCAAATATCTGTTTTCCCATGGTCTCAGGTTGCCACCCACAGGTTGAGAACCACTGCTTTAGACATACAGAGCCTGGGGAGCTCAGGCCCCTCCAAGGAGGGCAGCCCTGGACTGAGCTGGACCACTTGAGCCCAGCTGGACTCTACATCACAAAAACAAACCAGAAGGCAACCTTTCCTCTTGCCCAAGAGCAGGGAATGTGGACACAGCCATGCCAGGCATTCATAAGAGAAGAAAAAGAAAAACTAAAAACTGGACTTTGATGTCAAATCTCAACCCCTTCCCCCTCTCTGTCTCAACTTTGGCCAAATGCAAACATAGAGCCAGCACTGACAGGCCAAACTGTCCATATCTACAAGCCAAACAATCCATATCTACAGGCCACATTCCTGCTTAGGGATAGCCTTTGACTGGCTCTGTTTTAGGCTGTGTTCACTGAGGCTAACTCTTCATCTCTGCATACCTGACCTGGAACTCGCAGGCCTCGCAGTGATTTCGTTTCTTTCTTTTAACCTGTTTTCTAAGGGGCGTGCATTCTGGTCCCCACGGGCCGTGACTGCTGTCCTAGCGATTAGATAGCTGACTTTGTACAAGGCAAGTTATTGTTTGCACCTGTGGGTCTTTAGGAGCAGGTCTGGGGCTGACTGATTTTTTTCCTACCCTAAAGTTCTGGACTCTGGTCAGAGGCCATGGTGTAAAGCACTAAAGAAGGCAGAGAGGTCCTCAGAAGTGCTGGCTGTGGTCTAGCCAGGACCCTCTCTGAGCCAGGTAGTTCCTCTGTTAAAACGAACAGAGGGACTTCCTACATGATGGATACCTTAAGAGTAGATTAGAAGACCACAGAGGGCCCTTCCTCACCATAGGAAATGGAGGCCAGGTGCTTTTGTGCTAGGACAGGGAAGCCCATTAGCAAAAATACTTCCAAAGATTTCTTCTTAATCTCAAGAATTCTCCCGTGACAGTTGCTTTCTTTGGAAGCTGTCTCTGCACTCTTTATGACTGCCTCAAATTGACTGGGTTGGCCCAGAGACTTAGAATAGCACACCTCAAATCCATTCCTCCACTGTTCAGGACTTTAAAGAATAAGATTGACAACACAGCTCTTCTATATCACATAGAACTGAAGGCTGGACTGTTGCATAGCAGTGCTGAAGTTTAATGTTGATTCTAATGAAACTGACAAAAGAATGTCAATTGGTCACCACAGTTCAGAACTGGAGTAAACTGTCATTAAAATTGGCCCTTCCTACAGCCAGACTCTTATGGCAAATCTGGCCCATAAAGTGCCAGCCAGAGATTAATTGTAGTCTCTCACTGTTCCTTACAGATCTTTCTTATAAGCTCCTTACAAAGTGTTGCATTTGTGTGATTGTATGAAGGCCAAGCTAAGTAGAAGTTCCTATTCAAGCATATATGGCCTCCACCTGCGTGCCAGCTTCCACCACCATCAATGGAGATGTGATTATCCACGGGTATTAAAGCCAGGATCCATTCTGAACATCCAAAAAAGAAAACCAAAGCTGTTTTTCTGGTTAAACATGTCTTCATACTTCAAGCACCTCCAAGGTTTTATTGGAGTTCCTGAAAATTAACTAGTGGTGCTGATAGATTTGCATCAGGCACCCATCTGTTTCTGTTAGTTCCTTGATAATTAGCCATCTCTTCTTCTTCACTTCCAGTTTGGTAACGATTTTATGTAGTGGCTTTTTGGACTATGTGGCATCTATGGGATGAAAAATTACTGCAGAGATAGACTGGACACCGTTCCTGTGGTGAAGATTTGGGTTTGTGCATTGTTTTAAAACTGAGCGGAGCTGGGTGGTGGTGGCGGCACACACCTTTAATCCCAGCACTTGGAAGGCAGAGGCAGGCGGATCTCTGTAAGTTCGAAGCCAGTCTGGTCTACAAGAGCTAGTTCCAGGACAGGCTCCAAAGCTACAGAGAAACCCTGTCTCAAAAAAAAAAAAAAAAACCTTTGAGTGAACAAAGTGGCGCCTTTGGTCCCTCCTGCTGCTAGGCTCCCTGGCTCTGGTAGTCCTAAGAGCAGGCCCCAGTCACAGCTGGTTTGCATCTTCACTCCCTGCCCACCATGGCTGGCTGCTTGCTCCCCTAAGCCCCAGGGGTTTATTTGTAAAACAGCACAGTACTGGGGTTGGTGGGAATGATTCACGCAGAGTTCCTCACACTGCCTTGGCGCTAAATAAATGCACAGTTAGACGCTCAGAGGAAGCAGATGATGAGCAGTGTCGCTTCAGGCAGACACAAACTGGGAAAGGAAAAAAGAATGGCTCCTAATTCCACCCACGAAGTCTCTCACTGGGCTTCTCTCCCCAACTTCTGATGGTGTAGCCGGTCTTAGGATCTCCTAGAGCCCGGTGATGTTCTGACATTGGTTCATTGGTGTTTAGGATTTGACTTTTTTCATTCTTCTCATTTCTGTAATCTAATTTTCTGTCCTTCCCTCCTTTTTCTCCCTTCCTTTTTTAATTGAGAATGACAAGACATTGTTATGTAGCCCAGGCTGATCCTGAGGTGGTGGGCATGTGCCATTATCTTTTGAAGCCTGGTTTAGTTAGGTATCACTTAAGTCTATATGTTTTATATGTTTTATTTTACACATTTAAGTTATTTTTACTTACATTTATTTCAGAGGGAAACATGGTGATCAGCCTTTCTGAATGTACAACTGAACAGAAAGTGATATAAAATCAAAGTGCCCTATAATTCTCCCCTAAAATAACCATAACACCGTTCTGTAGATTGCTTGCAAACAGACCCGTAATACAATGGTTCCTCTCACTCACACCATCCCCACCAAGAATGAGAAGCACTATTTTTCCTGCTGGTTTTGGCTTTTCACACTGTGGCTGCTTTTTCCTACACTGATAAACACTTTGAGGTCAAGTTCGAAGCTGATTTTGCACTGCCCTCCCCTGAAAGCACCGGAACTATTTCCTTAGCTTCCTGTTAAGTAGTCATTTTTAATTTCATTTTCTTGCTGTGATTTTAATTACCTGAATCCTTGGGCATAATCTGACCATTTCCTAAGGATACTATTTCTAGGGATTCTGTAGTACATTGGCAGGGGACAGGTCCTTGTTGGTAAAGTCAAACTGGTTTAGACTCTGAACGTATCCGCAGCTCCATTCCTTCCCACGGTGTCTTTATGGCCAGTGCTGCTAGTGATTCAGTGTCCCTAAAGTCACCTCAGGCCTGTGCCAGCTGCCGCTGCTCATGGCCCACCTAATTTTAACCCCCTCACTCTTGTAGACATCCTTCTGCAGCCCCAGGCCTCCTCCTTTCGGTGACCCACTGTCTGCCTCACCTGCCACTGTCCCCATTCGCCTTCCTGGAGTCCGGTAATAGAGACAGATAAGCCAGCAGAGCCGCATTGCACTGAGACGGAGGAGCAGACAGGAGTCCCCAGGGCTGTGGGCTGCCCTTTGCTCCTGAAGAAGGGGTGGAAGGTCATCTGTGGACCTCAGGGAGGCTAGCTGGAGAATATTGCTTCCTTCCTTTGGGTGCCCAACACATTGTCACTGATATCCTCCCAGCCACTTTGTGAAGGAGATGGGATGCAATCAGCATGCCCCATAAGAAGAGAATGCTCCTCGATGTCGGTTTGGACAGTGCAGGCTTCAGTCTAAAGCAGTGACTCTTATTTTCCAACCCCCTGTCTCTTTTGTCCTCTCCTCCACTTGGCTAAGAAGCCACAGTCCCCTTCCCACTGCGGACTCAAAGCACTGGCTTTGGGAGGGCTGGCTGTGATCACAGAGGGGTCCTCTTCCCAGGGTTGCCAGATGTAATTCAGAATGCCTAGTTAGATTTGAACCTCAGTTAAGCAGCATATAATCTTAGAAGGAGGAATAAGAGCATAAAACAACAACAAGAAAAACCTGCCTGAAGATACACTGTGCACTTTGTATTTTATTTGTTAATCTAACAACCCTCCCAATCTTCTGGTGAATCTGATTGATTTCGACAATAAAAGGTTGGTAAGGGAGAAGCACTGTTTAAGGCTTGTTGGTGTTGTCAATACGGTTGTGCAGGTGGGAACCTGGCAGAAAGCCTTTGCTCCCGTTTACTGAAAGGACCTCACAGAACTGGTTCCCGGTGACTGTGCATTGTCTGCTAACTCTGGCTGTGGACAAATGAGAAACACATGGTCAAAAATCAACTCTTGCTCTTCTAAGATTAAAAATAAACTACTGCTAGCCCAAAGAGTCTTTGCAAGGTCCTCTCTCCTTCACAGAATGTTCTCAAATCTCAGGAATAGCAGTTACCCCAAAGTCTTCCACCAACACACCATTTAGCAAGAAAGCTGTCTATTGTGTGCAATCTGTTTCGTCTTAGGAATAAAGGATAGATTTGTGAACCCAGGATTTTAATTAGAATGGCCCTCCTCCAAACAAAGTCTATCAAGTTAACCATATATTAGTCTCACCAGTGTTTGGTGACACTCTTTGACAGTCTGGGGCTCAGTAATAGTATCTCAGTATCTTCTCACTTATCTGGGGGTTACAGGAAAATATGCCAGGGTGTTTAGAGGAAGATCTGAGCTGATACAGGCTGGGCAGCTTCACTTTATTCCGCTCTCCAGGGGTTCTCCTGAAGAGTACATGCTCTCTTGTAGTTAAGCATGCAAACAGGCTCAGCACTGGCCTTCTGAACACAGGTGCTCCAGCACTGCCTGTCAATCCAGAGAGGGTACAGTGGTCAAAGCACAGCGGACCTGTTTGTTTCTGCTCTGTGGGACATTTCAGGAGAGTTATAAAGACCACACTCTAATTGTTTATATAAATAAAATAGGTGAAACATCTTTACCAAAAGTGAGAGGAGAAGCCTATAATTTTGATATTTAAAAGTATGAACATTTTTCTTACATGATCCGAAACTACCGGATCCTCTTTTAATACTAAAATCTACAGTAAGATTTCCAGCTGAAGTAAAATCAGCATGGTGCAAGACTGTCCATCATCTGCAAATAAACCTTGTATTTACTCATCTGTCAGTAAGTACCAGCTAGACAAGGGCAGGTAATAGAACCAGTAAATCAGAACTTAAACAAAATTCATCAGGCCTATAAAAAATTGGGAAAATAATCTATGATCACTTGGTGATATTTGGGAATCAGATAAACATTTTAATCACAAAGTTAGTTTGAATAGCTAGAAGACTGTTTTTGTTTTTAAGAGCTAAATTTTTTAATGACTTATTTTTATGTGCATTGGTGTTTTGCCTGCGTGTATGTCTGTGTGAGGGTGCTGGATCCCCTGAAACTGGAGTTAGACACTGTAAGCTGCCATGTGGGTGGGTCCTCTGGAAGAGCAGCCAGTACTCTTAACCACTGAGTCATCTATCCAGCCCCCAAAATTCTGTTTTTAAAAACTGGTTATTTTGAGGCTGCACATGTAGTTCATGAGTGTATCATTTGCCTCATCTGCATAAGACCCTAGTTCTTGTTCCCAGTGCCAATTAATGGTTAATTTGATAAAACTAGGTATTGCCATGCTGAGTTTAGCATACTATAGTAGCTTCACCTAAAATCCCCAGCTGAAGAAACATGAAGTTTTGAGAAGACAGACAGCAGCTAGCTCATCCTCTGGTTATCTACAGGCCTTGCATGGTAAATTACACCTCCCTCCTGTTAGACAGACAGCAGCTAGTTCATCCCCTGGTTATCTACAGGCTTTGCATGGTAAATTAACACCTCCCTCCTGTTAGACTCACACACTGTACTCCATTTCTAGAGCCCTGTAAGAAAATGGGGGATTGGGCCCATTCCATCCTGGAACTCACATTTTAGCTGGGGTCTTAGAATGGAATGGACCTGTCCACTTGGTGGATAATGTCACTGAAGTGGCCAGAAGTAGCAGAGCAGGCCTCAGAGCAGCAGTCCAGACTGCCAGCCTTGGCAGGGTCAGCAGGTGATGTGGGCCTCTGTCTTCTGTGAGGACCAAGGTGGGATCAGCAGGTGATGTGGACCTCTGTCTTCTGTGAGGACCAAGGTGGGATCAGCAGGTGATGTGGACGCTCTGTCTTCTGTGGGGACCAAGGCAGGGTCAACAGGTGATGTGGGCCTCTGTCTTCTGTGAGGACCAAGGTGGGATCAGCAGGTGATGTTGGGCCTCTGTCTTCTGTGGGGACCAAGGCAGGGTCAACAGGTGATGTGGACCTCTGTCTTCTGTGAGGCCTAGAGATGCATTGGTTTTTATAAGAGTTGTTCTTCGTTGTAAAGCTTTGTTGCTTCACTAGAAATGAGCCCAACAGAACCTTGGGAAAAAGAGAAGTGAGTAACTTTGGTTCATTTCCATGTAGATGTTTTATGCAGAAGTGAGTTTACTCCCAGGAAAACACTAGGAGAAAGCTCAGTTTATTCAACCAACTCCTCATAAGAACCCTTAATCCCTTAAAATGTAAACATGCCAACCTCTCTCCTGGATTCCTTCATACAATTTAATTTGGATGTAATGTAAAGCTTAGACAACTGTTACAGTATTAGTGTAAAACAAAACAATGGCCTTTATCCAGATTCTCTAGACCCTTCTTGCCATGTGTGTTTTCATTTTGCTTTTTCAACTCAGATCTATATTGTTAACCATTTGAATGCCAGCTACAGGCCGACCCCTGTGTTCCTCTTCAAAGCCAGGGCATCTTCATGTCATCAGGAAATACGATCAGCACAGACAGTGCTCTCTAATCTGCACTCACGTGCAGAGCGCAGTGGCTCTCCTAGAAATGCCCTCTGCAGAATTGAGGTTGGGCTCCCAGGCCAGAGCTACGAATTGTATTTAACCACCAGTGTGCGTTTTATGATCATTAGAGCTTATTTAGGTTGGAACGAAGTGCTGTTTGCTCGTGCTCACTCAGGAAAAGGTCATTTCTTAGATTTGATTGATTCACATCCAACAGCAGGATATTGGCTGTTTTATTTTTCTTATTTATTCTTGAGACATTCTCATTTGAGACACTGGCAGATATCCTGCTAACGAGTCTGAGCTGTTTCCTTGGAGGTAAGCAGATGGGGGCAGGGCGTTTACCTCACAGTGCCCCAGAGGAACCAGCTTCTTCCCGGAGCTCCTGGCACCTCAGTTGTGGTGGAGACTGATTGTTGGTGTTCAGGGTGTCGTCCTGGAATTACACAGAATCAGGTTTAATGAAACAGACTACATGACTTGATCCAAACCTTCTACAGCACACACAGCCTTCACTAGCATGGATAAGAGCATATTTAGGTAATATCCTCATTTTATAAACAATTGGTATTGCTGTTTATTAGGTAAATAAATGATGTCATGTCCATATGCTGTAGTGTCTCATACATACTTGTATATGAACTAGTTTTATATTTGTATATGAAAGCATTTCTGTGTCAAAAGGGAAACCCTGCCTAAATTCCACCTTAAATACAGCCTTCAGACCTCTCGCTGGGAAAGAATGGGAGCTATTTACTGCTTTCTGCACAGACTTAAGCAGGGAGCAGCAGGATGCACAGCCTTTCCGTGCAGACCGTGTTTGCACAGACGGTTGCGTGGCAGCACTGACAGGCCGCTCCACAGACAGGTCTCGGGTGATGTCCACATTTGATTCTCCTTCTCTTCCTCCCCAAGTTCTTTAGCGTTGAGTCAGTCCTCTCCTACCTCCGTTATTTTTCTGTGTGCCTTTCTTTCCTCCTTTTTCAGAGAGAGTTACTAAAAAATAACCCCACCCTTTGGGAGAAGTGAACACACCTTTCCCAAAGGAGAAGTCTCATTTATAGCTGCGGGTGTGTCCCAGGACACACAGGCCTCTCTGCGAGGAGCCCAGGGACTCTGCTCAGCTGCACTGCGTACAGGAAGAGACCAGGCCTGTAACTGGACAGCCCTCTCCCTCACCACAAATGTCAGAGAGAGAATCATTTGCTTCACATGGCCCTAGATCACTGAGCCAGGACTGTGTCAATAAGTAGATACATAGCACGGATGAGCCAGACAGTAGGGTGACTTGACTTACATAGGTACCACGGGAAAAAAAAAAAAGTTGACTGGTTCTTTCTTGGAGGTAATCTTTAGTTCTGTTATCACAGAAGTGGCTTCTGTGGTCCTGAACTACCACAAGAGTGAAATGAGAGAACAGATTGGTCTTGGAGTTCAGCTGGTTTAGAAGAAACAGTAAAAAACCAAAGGCTTTAAAAACGTCTCAAGTAGAGCACAATCTTTTCAGAAGGTCGTTGTCCACACCAGGGCAAGGAAATGTTTTTTTTGTTTTGTTTTGTTTTGTTTTTTTGTGACTTGGGGTTTACTCTGAAGAAGAGTTACATATGTGACGACCAAGTAAGTAGTAGAACACGCACAGATTCCTACCTGAGCAGGGCAGGTTCCCAGGCTACACTGCTGATAGACATGCTTGTTGTGGATGTTGGCTGAGGGGGGGAGAGAGGCTGGGAACACGCGGTCCTGGATTCTGTCCCATTGCCAGACTTTGATTATTCCTGGGCTTCATTCTGGGCAGCTAAGGTCAGCAGCCCATCCTAAGACATCTTTCCATCCAAATACTGAGCCAGGCACGGAGAAGTTCTTGCTATTTTTGTTGTGTTTATGTGTGTTTTTAAAAACTCTGACTGAAATGCCTCACCAACTGTCCACAGGAGACCATCAGGAGGCTCTCTGTCCTGCCCACACCCCATTATTTAAAACCGTTCATGAGACTTCTTACTATTTAAAAAGCTGAGAACACAGTGTAAATAAAAAAGGATGAATCTCCATTGTGTAAATGTACCACATTTTCTTTATCCATTTTTCTGTTGAGGGGCATCTAGGTTGTTTCCAGTTTCTGGCTATGACAAACAATGCTGCTGTGAACATAGTTGAGCACATGTCCTTGTGGTATAATTGAGCATCCTTTGGGTATATACTCAGTAGCAGTATTGCTGGGTCTTGAGGAAGATTGTTTTCTAATTTTCTGCAGAATCACCATACTGATTTCCAAAGCAGCTGTACAAGTTTATACTCCCACCAGCAATGCAGGAGCATTTCCCTTACCCCACAGCCTCTCCAGCATAAGTTGTCAGTGTTTTTGATCTTGGCCATTCTTACAGGTGTAAGAGGGAATATCAGAGTTGTTTTGATTTGAATTTCTCTGATGGCTAAGGATGTTGAGCATTTCCTTAAGTGTCTTTCAGCCTTTTGAGATTTCTTTGTTGAGAGACTCTGTTTAGGTGTACCCCCTTTTTTGTATTATTTGTTCTTTTGCTGTCAAGTTTCTTGAGTTCTTTATGTATTTGGAGATCAGTCCTCTGGTACATTTGTACAGTGAAGTACTACATAGCAGTAAAAGATAATGGCATCTTGAAATTTGCAGGCAAATGGATGGATCTAGAAAAAAACATTGAGGTAACCCAGAGCCAGAAAGACAAATATATACTCACTTATAAATGGCTTCTAGACATAAATAAAAAAAAAGCCTACAATCCACAACCCCAGAGAACCTAGACAACAAAGAGGACTCTTAAGAGAGATGTATATGGATCTAAATAGGAAGGCGAAAAAGCCAAGATCTCCTGAGAAAATTGGGAGTGTGGGAGTCACAGGAGGAAGGGGGAGGGGGAGGAAGGGAGAGTAGTGGAGAAAAACATATCACAATAAAAACAAGAAAAAAAGGGAGATAAATCTTTCTCCTGCTGCCCAAGATTTTTTTCTTTACCTGAACTTTTAAAATTAGTCTATGGTTCAGAACTATAACAAGTAATTCCTGTCAACAAAGTAGATAACAGAAAACTTCTGCCAAAGTGGTAGAGGCATGAGCTGCCGTTTTGTTTCTGGTTTTTGAAATAGAGTTCTGTGTAATTAAGGAGAGTGTGAAACATGCAATCCTCCTGCCTCAGCCTCCAGAGCAATAGCATTCAGACATAGCCCCTCATACACCGCCACACTGCACTTTTTCAAGTGTCTTTCTTTGAGTTCCCTGTGGGGAGAGGTTGTTATCTTGGCTTCTGCATCCTCTCAGAGACTTCATCTTGGTGTGCTGGGTGGATAAGGTTCTCAGGCCCTCCTGGCTGCTAGGAAGACGTCCTATGAAGATTGGAATTTGACCTGTGTTAAGTTTATGAGTGGCTTATTTCATAGGTCAGGATAGGGAGAAGCAAAGGCAGATGTGAATTTACAGGTTGGTTTGCTTTCTTGGTATCTTAGAAAGATGACCTGGTGCAGTCATTTCTTTGGCACCTGCTTGCTTCCGTGGAGGGCTGGAGATTAAATGCAGTAAGCAGCTACCCTGTGCTCCAAGGACAGAAACTAACTCCTCATTTTACCTGAAGAGTGGTTTCCAGTTCTTAAGTCATCCTGTGACCACAGCACAGAGTTACTGGGTAGATATCTGTGGGTGGATCCTCCCTCTGGTAAGTAGAACTAGCATTGCCATTCTTGTGATGTTTGGGAGTAGAAATCTCTTCAGTTCCTGTTAGGGTGGCCTTCTGTCGTGATAGACAGACATGGTGTGTCTGCTGGGAATGTTGTGAGAATGGTAAGGAAAGGAAAGATTGTGTTCCTACCCTAGTAAGCAGTGTCTGCAGGCAAACTCTGTTAGATGTTCACCCAGCTTCCCCTTTCCCAGTCTCCTCAGGAAGGTGTGTGTGTGTGTGTGTGTGTACAAGGATGAAGCATGTGACTACTTATTAATAAAAAATCAGGAGTCAGATATTAGGATAAGAACCTGAACCTGAACAATCAGAGAAACTGCTAAGAGGCCATCAGTCAACTCCTACCTCTTCCATTCCTTCCTCCAAAAAGAACATCTTACTATTTCCTATCTACCCATAGTCCTGCAAAACTCTATGGTGAATTTTGGTCAGCTAGTGGCTAGCTCTGCCCTCTGACTCAAAGCAAGCTTTAATTTCAGAATGAAATCAAAATATCACACAACCTGTTCCCCTTTGTCTAAAAAGGAAATGTTTTAACTAACCTTGTAAAACTATAATAAGTACAATAACTATATACAAATATATACAGGTAAAAAACTACATTAACAATGTCTAGTTCGTTTGTATTTGTCAAATTCAGAGATAATCCTCCATTGCTATCCTGTCTTGGTGAGTCCAAAGTCTCGCACCTAATTCACTTTCTATCCTAACTTGCATTAGCAACCCAAATTTATCTTTTTTATGTCTCTCAATCTTTTACATGTTACACCACTTTTGCAAGTTTAATTTCTGGATTTTGTAGCAAGGAAAACTATAACTATCTAGTCTTCAATTCCATCAGAGACCTGAGAAGGATATAATACTACCTGAGTAAAAAGTATGGAGCAAACCTCTTCCAAAACTAAGAAATGACAGACAACTGGCTACTTGGACAGTCACCCAAGGTTCCTCTGTAATGTTGGGGCATCCATCTTGGCCTAACATACCTGACAGACTTTTTTTTTTCTTTCAAGACAGGGTTTCTCTGTGGCTTTGGAGCCTGTCCTGGAACTAGCTCTTGTAGACCAGACTGGCCTCAAACTCACAGAGATCCACCTGCCTCTGCCTCCCGAGTGCTGGGATTAAAGGCGTGCGCCACCACCTGGCGAGAAGTGGAGAATTTTGAAGGACTGTCATACCTTGTCTTGACAAAGTTTGACAGTTGATTTTTTTTCTTTTCCTCTTTCTGGTCCAGTTTGGACAGTAGGAAACTATCAGCAATTGAGGCAAAATCAGTTTCTTTGCCCACATAGCTAGCTTTTTACATAAAGAAAACAACTCCATATGGAGGTTTTTTCAAAGCCCATCATCTTTGCTGAAGTAGATCAGTGCTGCCAGGAGCAGTGTCTCACTGTCATGAAAAGCCTTTAGATTATTAAACATATTAGATGCTATATTGTGTAGGTCTTTGAAGTATTTGAAGACCGTCCATCTGTCTCTCTAAATATATCTATTATAGTTACATACCTACCTAACATGACTAAGTTTGGCTATTATAGATGACTATTAATCTGTATTTCTTAATTATACATTCCATTTTTAAATGAGCTACATAAGCACAAGACCACAAACAAGAGTAGACACATACATAAAATATAGCAGAAATAACTTTAAATTTGTATCAGTAAACTAAAATCCATACCAGTATAAAATATTTTGAGATTAATAGCTTTTTTGGATTAAAGTGGATTCAATAATCTACCTTTTTCCCCCTATCATTCCTATATCATATCCCCCCTTTTCAGGAAAACTCAGTCTTTAAGGAGAAGTTTGATCCTGTTCACCTTAACCTCTGCTAAGATAATAGCCAAGATGCCAGTCTAGAATGAGATTTCTTTAAAAACAAAATTTACAGGTACAGCACTTACAGGGCCACAAGTACAAAGGAGACAGCAACATGTGACAGGACCCCAGCCTCCTCCTCCTGCTGTGCCCAGGCGTGGTCACACCAGCAGTCAAGAAGAGGGACCCACAATGGAGACTGACCACTGACCTGTCATTGGTCTAAGTCAGAAAGGAGTAAAACTGCTGTTTCAGAGTCATTGATTGCAGGAAAAGCTGAAAGGTGAACCAGGAATCCTTGCCCACCTCTTCCCCAAGCAGTTGAATTCTTACAAGGAGCTGGGCTACAGAAAAAGAGAAAGGGCCAAGTTATCTCAGTAGTTTTGCTTGTTTGATGTTCTTAAAAAGAACTTTAATTCTCACCCTTCACCATTGTTGGGATTAGGGAGTGGGGTCTAGAAAGCAGTGCCCGACTTTATGCATGATGCTATTGACAGTGATTAGGAAATGAGACTTGCCTCAAACACTTGACCTCCTTGAACAAAACTTGTTGAGATAGAATTTGAGCTCAGGAAACGTGTGGGTAGGTACGCGTAGATACTGGCACCATGATGCAGTGTGTTTCTTTCTGTCTCTGCAGTATGCTACCACGGGCTGTTCCCTGACTCTCCACCACACAGAGAAACCCGAGCATGAAGACATCTGTGAATACCGTCCCTATTCCTGCCCCTGTCCTGGTGCCTCCTGCAAGTGGCAGGGGTCCCTGGAAGCTGTGATGTCCCATCTCATGCATGCCCACAAGAGCATCACCACCCTTCAAGGGGAGGACATAGTCTTTCTAGCTACAGACATTAACCTGCCAGGGGCTGTGGACTGGGTGATGATGCAGTCCTGTTTTGGTCACCACTTCATGCTGGTACTTGAGAAGCAAGAGAAGTACGAAGGTCACCAGCAGTTCTTTGCCATTGTCCTCCTCATCGGTACTCGCAAGCAAGCTGAGAACTTTGCCTACAGACTGGAGTTGAACGGGAACCGGCGGAGACTGACCTGGGAAGCCACGCCCCGGTCCATTCACGATGGCGTGGCCGCAGCCATCATGAACAGCGACTGCCTTGTTTTTGACCCGGCCATAGCGCATCTCTTTGCAGATAACGGGAACCTTGGGATCAATGTGACCATTTCTACCTGCTGTCAGTGAGGCTCCGGGAGGCTTTCAGAAACCTGAGAAGTATTTGGGCGAACGCTCTTTGTTTAATAAAGTTTTTTTTTTAAATAGATGTTTTATTCAGTTATGTCTTCCCAAGTCAAGACCCACAACTGTCCTATGTTTTGTCTAAAACAGCAGCTTCCTGTCTGGCACTGAGGAAGCAGAGTTCACTGGACTGTGGTAAACGTGGTTGGCCCGTTAGTGGTTCGGAGGCTGTTCTGTGATCTCAGATCAACTCTTTTCTGCTTTCTTCCTGAATAGCTCTTGACAGATTGTCCAGGGCTGCTCCCACCTGCCTCATCCTGAGCTGACAAGAGCACAGTGGCTCTCGAGATTCCTTTTCTTTGGGGGAGGTAGGAATGGCGTTGACATCTTTGAGTCTGGGTGGCTGACCAGTTTACACACCTGCAGTCTTCCTCTCCAGCACAGGTTGAGAGAACCCATAAAGTTGACTCTCCTCTTTTCAGACAGTTTGCGGATTGCCTGCGTGCATCGTGGGGAAGGGGCCAGGATGTGAAGGTGCTGTACGGCTGCCCTCTGCTGGTGCTGCTGGTCTCTGCTGTTTCCTCCGCAGCCTCTGCGCACACCACATTGAACCCAAAACTCTAGATCCGCGCGGACACATGTCTAAGGCTCGGTTACTTTCATGCATTCATTGAGTTGGGAGTTCTCACGTAGTTCTTGCTCACCATAGTGTGGATGACCTGTTTACACATGGCTTCCCTTGAAAGCCCTCCTTGATGGGAGCTTGATATGAAAGACGAGATCATTAGTTGAGAAAACTTTATAACCAGTCTCACATGCTTGCTATTTTAAAGGCATGTGTCAGTTGTCTAGATTTGGGTTTTTGTTGTTGTTTTTTGCTCTTTTTTTTTTTTTTTTGGTCTCTTTTTCCACATTCTAATTTTTTAATAAATTTTTAAAAAAAAATGAGTGTTGGTTGTATTTTCCTGCTTGAGTTGTAGGCATGTATTGAGCACCTACTGTGTACAAATGCAAAGGAGCCTCCACCACTACCACTAGGGCATATGCTTTCAGCGTGAACAAAGTCCCTTATCCAAGGTTGGGGATGCTTCTGGGGGTGCTAAAAAAGGAGGCTTCACTCCTCCTTGTCTCCAGGTTTCTGCTGTGTTTGAATCCTGCCCTACTTCCTTCAGTGATAGACCTTCGTATGGAAGCAGAAGCAAAATAAACCATTACTCTGCAAGATGCTTTGGGTGTGGTATTTTACCTAAGCAATAGAAACACTAAACAATCGCTCCGGTAAACTCTAGGCTGTTTTTCAAATGAAGATAAAAGCTGTCATGTACAAAAATAGGTAATGAAAATGTATTTTTCAAGGGAAGAAGACGCTGCTCTTGGCACTAAGTACGTCACTTCTGACACTGGTGGAGGTGGACCCACGCCCAGGAGCAGGTGGGACCCAGCCACTCCCATTCGGCGGACTGAACAGGTCGGCTCGGCTTCCTTATTGTCTCACCCACCCGAAATCGGGACTCTGGCCAACAATGTAGGAAAAGATAAAGCTACGAACAAGACCCAGAAGGAAAGAGACAGCAGGAATGTGGTATGTTAAGTGCACTGGCTCAGACGTGCAAAGGGGGCCAAAGGGGGTAGCCAGCTGAGTGGCTGGTGACAGGAGTGGCCTGGAGTTCAGGTGGTCTAAGTCCCTGCAGACAGCAAAACTGAGCTCTTCCAGTTAGATGGCCCCATAACCCGACTGGAAATCACCAATCGTGACCTTTACTCTGGCTTTTCTGAAACTTATTTTCTGATGGGGGAAAAAAAAAAAGCTGAGAATCTCCAGATTGTAGAATTTCAAGAGGAAGTGAAAACAAAACAAAAAAAAAAAAAAGTGATATAGCAATACCTGGCAAGAAGTCAAGTGATCTATTTCCCATATTTTTAATAAATGTAAGATTTGTCTTTCCTTTGTCCCTTGACGACTATCCAGCTGATTGGACCATGGTGGCTTCAGTATGTGACCCTCTAATTCATTTACAGACAGTTTCTCAATCATTCTTTGAAATAAAAGAAAAAAACTCAACCCTGAGCTCCCTATCATCAGCATCACTGGGGAGGGGTTGGTCTGTGTCTCTAAAACATGCAGGTTTTAGGATTCAGAAGCTTGCTGCCCATAGGAATGACAGAAAACTTCAGAGAAGCCCCCTGAGCCGTCAGCTGTCTTGGATTCTCAAATACAACCAACCTCAGGCTCAGCCATTATGTCCAGACTAACAACCTGGAATGTGTGAGCACCACACCACTCCCTTACAATAGCACGCTCAGAAAACCATTCGTCTAATTCGTCTCTGTACTAATTCCGTTCGGGTTCTTAGAACTTGCTGTGTGACCCTAAATCGACCTCTCGGACCCAAGATCCCTAGCCAGCAACATTAGAAAAATTACTCTCTGTCTTACCTAGTACTGGGAGAGGATATTCAGCTTCGGAGTTAAAGCAAATAAACCATGTTATCTAGCAGCCTCTGCGAGGGTGACTCCAGGAAACCTGGGAGCCAGCTTTTGTCTGTGACAGGTGAGTCATGCTTCAGCTCCCTCTTGATTCCCTTGAGTCAGAGCTGCAGGTGGTACCCCCCCCCTCTGGGCAGGGAGACCTGCTATGCTTTGTGGTCCTACTCTTAAAGCCTATGGCCTTGACCCATGAAGCCACCCATTGGCGCTGTCCTTAAACCACACTGCCTGCTGCCGCGGCTCACTTGAGACTTAAAAAGTATTTTCTGCGAATACTGTTCATTTGCCTTAAAAGTCTCCAAATGACGAAGAATTTGGAGCCTGGATCTCCCTGGGGAAAGGGAAAAATAAGATTTCTTGAGTGGACTGTGGGCAGCTGGGGATGAGAACATGAGAGATCCGGTTGGGGGGAACGGTAGGGGAGCGTACTGAGACTACTGAGGGGCGCATTTCAGGGCCAGGTGAAAACCACCTCTAATTCTCCCAGGAATCTACAAGGATGACCCCGGCTAAGACTCCTAGCCAGAGCGGATACGTAGCCTAAACTGGCCATCTCCTGTGCCCAGGCAAGACTTCAAGTGGAAGAAGTGGGAAAGCAACCCAGCCACATAGCCTTCGACCTACAGTCTGTCCTGCCTATGAGATGTGCTGGGGTAAGGGCGGCCTAGAGACTGAGAGTGGCTAACCAATGACTGGTCTAGCCTAAAACCTGTGCAGGAGAGTAAGCCCGCCCCCTGACACTACCTAGAGCACCAGGACCTACAGGCTGCATGTCCCAGAGACCTAGGATAGAACCAAACATGACTGGAGGAAGAGGAAATGTCAATGCAATTGTTGGATGTAATTGGCCCCCATAAGCTCATAGGCAGTGGCGCTATTAGGAGATGTGGCCCTAGTTTTAGTGGGTGTGGTCTTGTTGGAGGATGTAAGTCACTGTGGAGGCAGGCTTTGAGGTCTGGTTTGCTCCACCTTCACTCAGTGTGACACTCAGTTGACTTCCTGTTGCCTGCAAGATGTAGCACTCTCGGCTCCAGCACCACGTCTGCTTGCACGCCTCCATGTCCTCCCATAATGGACTGAACCTCTGAAACTATAAGCTGCCACCTCAATTAAATGTTTTCTTTTATAAAAGTTGCCATGGCAAGCCGGGCGGTGGTGGCGCACGCCTTTAATCCCAGCACTCGGGAGGCAGAGGCAGGCGGATCTCTGTGAGTTCAAGACCAGCCTGGTCTACAAGAGCTAGTTCCAGGACAGGCTCCAAAACCACAGAGAAACCCTGTCTCGAAAAAAAAAAAAAAAGTTGCCATGGCAATGGAGTCTCTTCACAGCAGTAGAAACCTTAACAAAGGTGGTACTAATGTCTTAACAATATTCTGCTAAACTCACAGATTGGTGCCCAGCCCAATTGTCATCATAGAACTGATGGAAACAGATGCAGACCACAGGCAAACATTAGGCAGAGCTCAGAGAATCCTACAGAAGACAGAAAAGATTGGAGAAGCCAGAGGGGTCAAAAACACCACAAGAAAACTCAGAATCCACCAACTGGTTTCATAGGGATTCACAGAGACTGAACCAACACCCAGGGAGCCTGCGTAGGACCGGCACACTGCACATAGGTTACAGTTGTGTAGTTTGGCCCTCCTGTGGGACTCCTAACAGTGGGAGCAAGGGCTGACTCTGACTCTCTTACTGGCTTGTGAGCCTACTCCTCATACTGGGTCACCTTGCCCAGCCTTAAAACATGGGGAGGTACTTAGTCTTACAGCAACCCGTTATGTCCTATTTTGTTGATAACCGTGGGAGACCTGCCTTTTTCTGAAGAGAAATGGAGGAGGAGTGGATGGGGGTGGGAACAGAGGTGGTGTGGGAGGGAACTAGGAGGAGAGAAGGGAGAGGAAACTGCAGCTTAGATTTAAATACCCCGGCCCCGCGGGGGCGGTGGTGGCGCACGCCTTTAATCCCAGCACTCGGGAGGCAGAGGCAGGCGGATCTCTGTGAGTTCGAGACCAGCCTGGTCTACAGAGCTAGTGCCAGGACAGGCTCCAAAGCCACAGAGAAACCCTGTCTCAAAAAAAAAAAAAAAGAAAGAAAGAAAGAAAGAAAAGAAAGAAAGAAAGAAAGAAAGAAAGAAAGAAAGAAAGAAAGAAAGAAAGAAAAGAAAAAAAATAGAACTATAAATACTTTGGCCTGCTACAGCCCTGAGTGGTGCAGCTGTGAGCAGCTGGAAGGACAGACCCTGATCAGACACCAGGTGCAGGCAGTTGGAGACTAGCTTAAGGTGGGAGGGTATAGGGGGAAGAGCCCTGCCCTTGGTGGCCATCTGGGAACAGAGCTCAAGTGATGAGAACCTGAGACCAGCTGGGAGACCGAACTCTGGATTCAGGTCACCAAGTTTTAATGGCAGTGATGCTGTCTCTCCTGTTCCTCTTCTTTAAAACTCTGTGTTTTGTCTTAATCTCTTGCTCTCTTCCCTTCCACGCCATAATGTTTTTCTACTCCCCTTCTTTCTCCCTTTACTTGCTGAGTCTCGCTTTGCTTTCCACTCCATCCCCACCTCCTTCCCTCATTCTCGCTGTCTTCACATTTGTGTAGGGG